GGGCGGACGGGGCGACTTCATAGGAGAAAAAAGGCTCCAGGTGGCCCTGCCTGGAGGGGAAGCTGGAGCGGGATAGCTAGAGTCAGGGCGTCCCGTGTGATCGGTTTGGGAGCCTTTCTCTGTTGGTCCTGAGTTGGAAGTGGGGGCAAATTAAGAGAGAGAAACTGAGTCGTTGACCAGGTCCTGACTGTGTGGGGAGCTTGACTCCTGGGCTGGTGGCCTCGGCGGCGGGGGTCTGTGCCGTCACCAATGCCCTGGCTTTGTCTGCATGTTCAGCCTCCCAATTCTCTTCAATTAACCCACAGTATCGGCCACACCGTTTCTAAATGCACAGACATTTTCCCTTGGGCCCAGCCAACCAAGCATCCGTATCAGCCCAGCAATGTACCAGGAATCAGGTCCAGTTTCTATGTCCATCAGCAACAAGCAACGCCTGCCTCCGATGCTTTACCGGCTCATTTGTAAGTGTGAGCTATAGACCCGAATTTCTACGTGATGTTGAACGGGGATCTCCGTGACCCTCCTGCAGCGGCCACCACTTACGGACACTCCTGGGGCCAGCCCGTGTTACCTGCACAACAGGTATTATTCCACTTACCTCCCAGTAACCTTCAGTCCGGGGCCCGCCTTACAGAGGCTCGGAGGGTCGGGGACGGTGTCCAGTCACGTGCGGGATGCTGTTTGAGCTCAGATGTGTCTAAATCCAAAGGTAGCACTTGTAAGTCTCAAGCAACACGAGACCCTTTGGAAGGGACTGGGCCACACACACGGGTGGGGTCCCAAAGCCCCGAGGAGCCTGGAGAGAGAACACAGGGCACCGACTCTGAGCTGCGGGTCTTGTTTCTCAAAGGCTACAAATCCATCCTAACCTCCAATTCTTTACGTGCCTGGAGGGTTCCCATCAGCAACAGGAAACAGGATTCCAGCTACTGCCGTCCTCGGGCAGTGACCGTAACTCACTCTGACAATGACTCACCGTTGCCCGAGGATGCGAGAAGTCCCACCACGCGTGTGCGGGGGACCCGAGTCACCAGCCTCCTCCAGGCCGGCTGCTCCAGCCAAGCTTTCACACGCGGACGGTTATGGATGGAAATACGCTGTCTCTGCGTTGTTCACGCAAAGGCCGCTTACAATATGTGACCCAGGGCACAGGCAACTCCTCTGTGGGTGCAGAATTTTCTATTTAAACTGAATCCAGTCGTGTTCTTACTGCTTCTTTATTGTCTCCTATTTCACCAGGGGGAACGAATTTCAAGTATGTCTTCATTTCCTTTCTTTTGGTCTTTTTTATTTACTCTCCACAAAGTCTCTCCTACACGCCAGCCCTGCCAGCTCTTTCCTTAAAAAAAAAATTTAAAAAATCTTTTGATTTCAGAGAGAGGAAGGGAGAGGGAGAGAGAAAGAAACATCCATGATGAGAGTCATTGATCGGCTGCCTCCTGCACGCCCCCTACTAGGGATCAAGCCCACAACCCGGGCATGTGCCCTGACCGGGTATCGAACAGCCATCTCCTGGATCCTAGGTCGATGCTCAACCGCTGAGCCACGCCAGCCAGCTGGCCAGCTCTTCTTAATGGGCCTGTGCCATTCAAAGATGCCTGAGCACCCCAGGGAGAGGGTGTCTCTCTTAGGTCTGGGAGTTCCAGAGGCCAAGGTGGGGAATGCCCCGTCTCTGGGGTCCAGCCCCCTGGATCCCTGTCTTGGCTGGGAGACCCTGGGCAGGTTGCTCAGCCTCTCTGCACCTAATGCCTTACTTGTAAAATAGGGGTAAAGACAGCTCCGAGCACAGAGGTATTTCAGTCTAGGTTTAAGTGGTCATGGGGATGAATTAGTTCACACACACTCACTCTTCGCCCGGTGCCTGGCATGTAGTGGGCTCCCAATCGCTTCGTTTTCACTGCACTTAAACCTGAACACCTGAGTCTCAGCTCCAAGGTTGCTCCACAGGACCCGGGGCGCAGGCCAGACATGTGAGGGGAGAAGACGCTGGCCTGATGTGCAGGAACTTGCTGGTGAGGCACCTCGGGGGCCTTTCCCGTCAGCTCTGCCCACGTCGGGTGTGGCTCCTAATCCTTCCTCGGGCTCCAGTCGGGAGACAGATGGTGATGCCTCAGAACCAGGGCAGTCACCCACGACTCCTGTGATGAGCAGACTCTAATGTGGTCTCCATGACCCCCACCTTTTGGCATTAACACCCCTGTGTAAACCTCTCCCCACAGTGTGGACAAAACCTGTGACCTGCTTTTAGGCAATGGAGTAGGGTAAGGGTGATGGGACATCACGTTCATGATCATGACTCATAAGCTCGCAACGTCCATTTGCTGTAAGACTCTCTCCTCGCAGGTTTGGAGGAAGCAGGCACGGTGGGGCCCACGTGGTGGGAAGGAACTGAGGCTGCCTTGAGGAACAGGGTGGGTCCCGCCGGTGGGTCCCGCCCACAGCCAGCAAGAAGCTCAGGCACCGAGGCCTCAGCTGCAAACAACTGAGTTCTGCCAACAGTCGAGTGAGCATAGAGCAGATCCTTCCCTGGGTGAGCCCTGAGATCTGGCCACAGCCCTGGTGACACTGGGCTGCAGTCTTGTGCGGCCCTGGGTTAGGTGACCCAGTTATGTCTGGACTCCTGACTTTCAGATGATAGCAAACGCGTGTTGTTTCAGGCCGGTAGGTTTCTGGTTGTTATGGAGCAATAGGAAGCTAATACACTGTGTTAGGGCTCTTTGGAGAAACAAAACCGACAGGAGGCATGTATACATAAACGGGGAGAGAGAGAGATTGATTATACACGATTGGCTCCCTCGGCCATGAAGGCTGAGAAGTCCGGAGCCGGAGCTGACAGTAGGCTCCAGTCTGAGTGTGAGGCCTGAGAGGCAGGGGAGCCCATGGCGCAAGTCGTCCGAGTCTGGGTCCAGGAGCAGAAGACACGTCCCCGTTTAGCTCAGAAATCCAGTCTCCCCACTGCCAGCTGTCCTTCCACTACAGTTTCTAGAGTGCAAGCACTTCTGTACTTGCTCGTAGGCCTCCCTCCCCCACCGGGGCTAGGATGATCTTTTAGATGCAGAAATGGGACGAGAAATTTTCCAGTTATGTTTTTTGTGTTTCATTATTTCAACCAGTCCCTATAAGTGCAAATAAAAAATTAAGAAGATTCCCCTGCAATAACGATTTCCCCCCTCACTAGATACCCAATGGGCACCACGCTTTTGGTGCCCATATTAATGCAGTAACTGTTTCCACTCTGAGAGAGTAACGGCTGCGGGGCTGTCCAGCTGGCTTCCCTGCCAACAATGCTGGGCAGACACATAAAAACACACCAATTCCCGGCAACCTTCTGACCGTCTGCAGGTTACTGGGAGCCCTTTCATCCCACCCCTAATGCCAGCGTCTGAGCTCAGTCCCAAGATTTGTCTCTTGAGTCTCTGGCAACGCACTGAAGGCATTTGTCCCTTAGTGACCGCCTGTCCACAGGTTCCACCACACCGCGGGTTTAGAGGGGGGGGCGAGGGAAGTGGTCCCCGTAACTGGTGACCATCGGACAGAGCGTGGTCAGGGAAGCCCGTGTGTGGCCACAGGCAGACGGGAACACAGCGGCTTTCTCAGGTGGGACGCCCTTGGCATGCTGCAGAATCCAGCGCCTGGGAACATTTGTTCATGTGATGCGTTTGAAATAATAGCACATCAACCAAGGCGGCAGCGTCTTTTTAAGAAGGAGCGCCAGGGGTTTCAATGGGAGGGGCGTGAGCTCTTCCCTGGAGCGGGAGGGAATGGGGCCCATCAGCGGTTGGGGGCACTGGCTCCTCCAAGACGCCCCCTCCCCCCCGCAGGGCAACCAGCGGTCCGTCTGTTCCCATGGTCCTTACCGGCGGTATTTCTGTTGTAAGGTTTTTAAAAGGTGACAGATTTCCAAGACAAAAAAACACCAATCCACGCCGAAGTGTATTTGACAGGCAAGCACAGCTGGGGTTACAGCAGGAGGGTAACATTCCTGGTGACAGTTGAGGAAAACACAGGTGCACACGGATCCTCACTGGGGTGAGTTTCACAGGACTTTCGGAAACGGAAACAGCACATCCCCCCAAGACTGGCCTTGCTAAGCCATTTCAGAAAACTGTATTTAAAAGAACAAATTCAGTATTATGATATTACAGAATTATGGGCAAGAAAAAAGCCATCCCATCGTCATTTTGGTAAAAATACTCATACTTTCTGGCCAATTTAAGATCAGAGCGAATGTGTCATTGGTACCCAGGCAAGTCCCTAACCGGTCCCATAAACAGCGTGTGCTCCTGTGGTGAACACTGGAGACAGGTTATCACTTTCTAAAACCCCATTTGCTCTCCACCAGCGAGGAGGGAAAGAAGTGTAAGAGCGGAGCAGCGCTTAAGGATGAAGGAAGAGGCGCCTTTCGCACACTAGCCACACTCTACGAAGTCTGAGGCTGCGCCCCAGGGCCCTCTGCACACGTCTTCATGATTTTGCTCTTGGAAAGGGAGTTTTTTTCATCCCCGTGCCGACTCCGTTGCGAAAGGACCGTTTCGCAAACACCTTCTCCAAAAGCGGCAGAAAGCCCAGCCCCTCGCTCCTGGGCGCCCTGGCCCGGCCGCTGCTCAGCAGGAGGAGAAGGTCACCCGGCGTCCCGGACACCTGGGGGCGCGGGGGGGGGGGAAACGGTGGCAGAGTTAAACGTTCCTTTCAACCGTAAGCAATTTTCAGAATCTTACGGCAATGAATCCGGAAGACCCAACCTCTTAAAGGAGAAAATTCTGTTAAAATAGAACATATGCTTTATCTAAACGCAAGGGACTGTTTGGAGCAATCTCCCCCCTCGTCTAATGGGCACACGCCTTAGGAGCACTGCTGCCCGGTGTGCGCTGCACACGCCGAAAGGAGTAATCTTGTCACTATTGCTTGATAAAGAACCTTTCAGTTGGCACTAGTCAGCCTTGGGGACAGTTTTTACATTTCACTAAGAGAAACCACCCATGACAGCCAAACCACCCGGTGACAGCGGGCACTGCCTTCCTCCGGCCGGGTCCCGGGCCACTGGCCGCGGGTCTCCAGGAGATGTCTCGCTACCTAACAGGAGGCATCTCTGTCTTTTGACTTTGGTTCGGTTTGTCATCTGTGGCTCAAGGACAGCGTAGGGGACGCTTAGTCACGAAAGGAAGGAATCTGGACTCTCAGAGCCCACGCTGCCCTCGAGAAGCTGCAGCTCAGCGCCACACCCTGCAGGCGGAGACGCCAAGTTCAAGAGCAAAGGGCATGTCCCAGGAAACGGGGCCGGCAAGTCGGCGAGGCAGGCGTGACCCAGAATCAGGTAACAGCTTCCCACACTGTCCCGTCCTCTCTGTGGTTTTCAACTCCACGAGGCCGACAAGGGGGGAAGAGGGGGCTGGACACTTTTATTATAAATAAACACTACGCAGTAAAAAACACACGCTTTCCTTTCCTGGTGCAGGAAAACCAGCTGGGTTTGGGGTGACTTTGGAGGCTGAAATGGGGGCAGAGTGCATAAAATGCTCCCTGGCACTCTTTGCCCCCAATGGGTGGCGGTGGTGGTGGTGGGGCGACTGAAGGTTCCAGCAGCCAGAGCTCCTGGAAAAATAATTTCCACTGGCTTCTGGGGTAAAAGATGGGCTTTTTTTTTTTTTTTTTTTTTTTA